GGGGCCGGCAAGAGGGTGAGACGGCTCGGAGGAGAAAGTACTGGCTGACAGGCCTAAAGAACTCAGTTCAAGCCCGGGCACCCACAGAGGAAAGAGAAACAACTCCCCAAAGTTGTTCCATGACCTACACACACACACACACACACACACACACACACACACACACACACACAAATAAATATAAAATAAATAAATGTAACTTAGGTCTCCCTTTCCTTCACTGAATGAGGTTCTGATTCCTGGGACAAGACTTTTCTCAAAGAAGCCAGACACCATGGGGCTGTGGAGATGGTTCCCTCAGCAAACTGCCGGCCACACGAACCCGAGGACCCGAGTTCAGATCACCAGCACCCACGTCAAGAAGCAGCGCGGGCCCGTAATCGCTGCACTACAGAGGATCGTGGGGCTGGAGAGTTAGTTAGAGTTAGTGAGCTCCTGGTTAAGTGAGACCCTGTCTCAAAAAATAAGCTGAAGGGCCAGCAGGACGGCTCAGTGGGTAAAGGGGCTTGCCACCAAGTCTGACGACCTGACTTTAACCCCTGAGATCCACACGGCGGAACGAGAGAACGGATCCGGGGCAAGTGGGCCTCTCACCTCCATGCAGATACACACCCACCCACAACCACATGAACACAAAACAAGTAAGACACAAAATGGACAGCGACTGAGGGAGACACAGTTGACCTCCAGCCTCGACACGTGCATGTCCACACAAATGCATACACGTGCATGTCCACCCAAATGCACACACGTGCACGCACGCACGCACGCACAAAAGCCAACCATGGTGTTACACTCCTGTAACCTTGGAAATGACAATCAGGCTAGCCTCCAGTGTGTAGCAAATTTGAGGCCAGCCTGTACTACATGAGAGCCTGTCTCAAAACAACAACAAAAACTCCCAACAACAGGACATCAAAAGTGACCCTCCTCCAATCCTGTGTCCCTTCCGTGACAGCCATGCCCACTACTTATAGCTTATAAAGAGGACTGAGGTGACCTGAGTGGAGGCATGTAAAGTCTGGCCAGCTGACAAGAGAGAGACAGAGACACAGAGGAGAGCCAGTCCTAAGGAAGGCAAGGCCCAGACAACTGTGTGCGCTCCAAAAGCCAGACAATGTTTAGACTTTGTACTGAGCAAAAGGGGTTGAGGCGTCAGCAAGACTGTAATTACGCTTTAGAGAAACAGACCCAGGAGCAGGATAAAATGATTCTGCAGAAGATGGTGTGCCCCTCAGGTGTGCTTAACCAACGCATGGACAGAGTGCACAGTCGTGCGTACCTGTCATCCCAAAACTCCAGAAGCGGAGGCAGGAAGACCAGCCTGGGCTACACAGTGGCTTTGAGGCCAGCCTAAGCTCCGTGAGATTCCTTGTCTAAAAACAAAACAGAACAAAAGCAGAGCGGGTGCTGTGGCTCATTTGGTGAGGCGCCGGCCTAACACGTACGCCTCCCAAGTCGATCCCCAACACCATATAAACCTGGAGGGGTGGCACACCTGTCATCCCAGCTGTTGGGAGATGTAGTCAGGAGGAGCAAAAGTTCAAGGCCAGGGCTATATAAGTCTAAGGCAAGCCTGGGATATATGAGACTTTGTCTCCAATAAACATAGTAGGGGCTGGAGAGATGGCTGAGGGGTTGGGAGTTCTTACTGCTGTTTCAGAGGACCCAGGTTCAATTCCCAGCACCCACACCAGGCAGCTCACAACATACCCTCTCTCCTGGCCTCCATGCTGTACCTGCATACACATGGCATACAGTCCCATAGATACACATAAATAAATATAAAAATAAATCTTAGAAATACTGCAAAAACCAACAAATGAATGCATGTATATACAAAGGGCAGAACCACTGGGCACAGTGGCGCACGCCTTTAGTCCCAGCACTCAGCAAGCAGAGGCAGGCAGGTATCTGTGAGTTCAGGGCCAGCCTGGGCTACATAGCAAGTTCCAAGCCAATGAGGACTACACAGTGAGACCCGGTCTCAAAAGGGGGTAGGGGTGCAGTACCAAATATTCCTGGCCCAGATTAAGCACTTAATATGTGTTTTTAAAAAACCTGTAGGAGCCGGGCGGTGGTGGCGCACACCTTTAATCCCAGCACTCGGGAGGCAGAGGCAGGCGGATCTCTGTGAGTTCGAGGCCAGCCTGGTCTACAGCGCGAGATCCAGGAAAGGCGCAAAGCTACACAGAGAAACCCTGTCTCAAAAAAAAAAAAAAAACAAAAACAAAAACAAAAAACAAAAAAAAAACTGTAGGAGAGCCGGGTGGCGGTGGCGCGTGCCTTTAATCCCAGCACTTAGGAGGCAGGGCCAGGTAGAGCTCTGTGAGTTCGAGGCCAGCCTGGGTTACAGAGCAAGATCCCAGACAGGCACCAAAACGACACAGAGAAAGCCTGTCTCGAAAAAAACAAAACAAAACAAAAACCTGTAGGAAGGCATAAATTCTCCCAAGAGCTACTGGGTGGAAGTGCAGAGTTCCCTCTCTGGGCAAAGCTGTGCAGTTCCAGGGCCAGAGAGGGTCTGGGAATCACAGAGTCTGTCTTCTAGGTGGAGACAAAGAAGACTCAGGGGGAAGAGCATTTTATGATGCTTTGCCATCAATGAAGGAAAGCAGGCAGCTGGACAGAGAGGCAGAAAAGAGCAGGGCCCTGGGGCAGGTCTAAAAGGCTAGGCTGTGTGAAGGTTAGGAGGGCTGCTGGAGCAGGGGAGAAGTCTCCTTCTGCCCCAGGCTGAGGGTCACTTCCTGTAGCAAAAAACTCTTCCACTGGGAATATAGCTCAGTGGTGGAGCTCTTATCTAGAATCCCCCAGGGGTGTGGCTCAATGGTAGAGCACCTGCCTAGAATCCCCCAGTGAGGGGTTGGGGGCATGGTTCAATGGTAGAGCACCTGCCTAGAGTCCCCCAGTGAAGGGCTGGGGTGTGGCTCAGTGGTAGAACACCTGCCTAGAGTCCCCCAGTGAGGGGCTGGGGTGTGGCTCAGCCAGAGAATGCATGAGGTCCTAGGTTCAATTCCCTATGTCACCAAAAAGTAAGTAAACTTACTTACAAGTAAGTTAAACCACAAAAACTCTTCCTAGGGTCCATGATTCTCTCAAAAGCCCTAAGAGGCAAATGCCCTAAGTACCCCCATTTTACTGATGGGGGAAATGGAGACAGAAGGGTACATGATCTTGTCCAAAGCCACATAGCTATGTAAGTAGCAGAGCAAGGATTTGAACCCATGATGTGAAACTCCAGCATCTGAACTCTCAGCCATCCAAGCGCACAGCAGCGCCAGCTCCTCAGGATGTGTCTCTGGGCTGGGAATTTGGGGCGTTGAGGAGGCCATTCCCCACCCCACCCCCAAGTGTCTGGGAGTGTATATATATGTGTGTGTTCCTCCACGCCTCTTCCACCTTTGGGGCACCTCTATCTCTACCCCCTTCTCTAATTCTGGAGCCTCTACTTCAGCATACTCCCTTTGTAGGGCACTACTGAAACCCATGCGTCCTGTGCTAAAAGTGGGCACCTACTGTATACAGGAAAGGAACTGGCAAACAGGCACTGCTTTGAACTTCATGCCCCAGTAACCTAAATCTTTCCCTGCCCATCTAAGCCAATATGCCTCCTGTTTGGAAGCTCTTGTGGGAGCTACTGCCTAAGTAAAAAGCACCCTCGGGCAGGGCACCAGGCTCAACCACCCTTCAGGGTCTGTTATGTAAAAAGCACCTTCGGGCAGGGCACCGGGCCCAACCACCCTTCAGGGTCTGCCCCACCTTCCATCTGTGCCACGTCTGTGCCCCCAGCTTCTCCCCATTCGGGGCATCAGGCTGGGCTGTGCAGAGCGGTTCCGGTTCTGTGTACCTGCCAGCCCCTGGTGGTGCCAATCCAGGTGACAGCAGCCTTATGAATGAAGGGCTCATTGTTTACATTTACAACTGAAGGGGAGGAGACCTCTGGCTCTCACAGCAGAGGTAAGGTAGCCCCACGTGGTGCTCCCTACCTCCTCCTCAGAGTACAGCCCTAGGCCAGCCCCACCCCCACCCCCCTCTGTCTGGGGCACCTTTCAAGATTAAGGCCAATTCCTTTCCTAGTTCTAACACCCCAACCTCCCCACCCCCCACCCCCACCCCCGGCCATTCGTAGCCCAGAAGACAGGAGCGGAATCTCAGAGACTGGGTGCATTCCTGTGTTGTGACTCCTCCACCCCTAAGGTGTCCCTCTGCAACGACCTTTCCAGGCTTGGACCTGGCTGTAGAGGAGGCACTCGTGGCAAAGCCCTGTGTGCCCGGGGGCACATACACAGGCCCCGCCTGAAGAGTCCACGCGGGCTGGCCCTGGAGGCTCAGCCCTGCATCCTGCGTCGCCACTGCCCCTCCCTGGGGGGAGGGAAAAAAAATCTGCTGCCTCACCAGCCACCAGCGCCAGCTTGGGGGGGCACCCCTGCGGAAAGCCACCCTGCCTGGGCCTCCCCCTTACCCTACCCTCCTATTCCAAGCCAGGCTCTCCAATCAAGTTTTGCGAAGGGCACGAATCAGGCGACCCCAGGTGGCGGGGCGGGGGGCCTCCGTGTCTCATCCCAGATGCCCGGTCTGGAGATGAGGACTGATGGCCGCGCCCACCGGGCTGTGTCCCCCCCCATTCCCCAAGAGCCTGAGAGCTTCCCCCGAGAGCTCTGCAGCTCGTCCAGCTGTCTGGACCTGCTCTTGGAAAGAGAACCCCAACAAATACACCCGAACCCCAGTCTGTGGATGTGCGCACCATCGGGACGTGCAATCCAGGAGCGCCCCCCCAATCCCAGCAGCGTGTCCTCCGGGTTGAGGAAGTTGGGGTTCATCCCGCCCACGCCCACCAACGGCGGCGACCCTGCCCGCTGTCCCTGCCCACCTAGCGACAATGCCTCGATGATGGTACCCCCCCTTTTCTTTCCCAGGCTAGGGTGCCGCCGCCCCCCGCGACTCTGCGTCCTTTGTTGCCCGCGCGCCCCCATCGCGCGCGTCCCCAGAGCTGCGCCTACCTTGGCGCTCCAGCAGCCACCAGGACCCGACACCCCTTGGCCTCTCCTCGGTCCGCGCGCTCGCGCGCGTCCCCCCGGAAACGAGGATGCTGCGCCGGTCCTCGCACGCCGCTACCCTAACCCGGTCTCTGCGCTCCGAGTCCGGGCCTCGCACACGATCGACAGCCAGAAGGGGACAGAGGGAGGGGCCGATCCAGTAAGCCGGGCTTCTTCAGCCTGCGCGCCCTGAGGCGGAGCCGAGCCGAGTCGAGCCGAGCGGAGCCGAGCCGAGCCAGGAGGCAGCCGAGCGGAGCGGAGCCGAGCCGAACAGGGGCGGAGGCGAGAGGAGCCGAGCGGAGCGGAGCCGAGCCCCGTGGAGCCCTGCCAAGGCGAGCCGAGCCCAGCCGAGAGGAGCCGAGCGCCAGGAAAGCGCAGCGGCCAGAGAGCGAACAAAAGGGGCCGGCGTACGTACGGGCAGGCGCAGGAAGGTGGGGCCCCCGGAGCGACCGGGGGGAAAACGGAGTGGGGGGGCGGAAGGGGGGGGGGGGGAGCCTTGGGGGCGGGGCCCGCAATCCTGGTCGTCTCACGGTTCTCCGGCATGAGTGACGCCCGGAAACTGGGGAGCGGGCGGGCGGAGAAGACTTTGGAACCTCGTCTCTTCCCTACCCTGACCACCTACAGCTGACTTGGACCTTGGAAACAGGGTTCACGCACACGCGCTTCAGCTCTAGGCACCTATGTGTGTTCCATTTTCTGTTTCAGCCATGCGTGGCTTACGTGAATGTGTTCCATATTAGGAGACGCAGAAGCTTGAGAATGCAAGGGGGGCGGGGCTGGGATCTGGAAGGCTTCACGGAAGAGTTGACTTAGGGACTGTGTGGAAAGAGGCAAGGACCGGGGTGGGTAATGCAATTGAAGTGAGAAGAACTTCAAGAGTGCCTCCTGAAGGCACTCCCGGACCACCTGGCAGGCTGATTGGGCGGGGGGCAAGCTGAGCTACGTAGTGAGACCCTGTCTCAAAAAAACCCAAGGTCTCACTCAGCCTGGTGTGGTGGTACGTTAACCTCTTGGCCTCAGTTTCCCCATCTTTAAAGAAGGCAGGGTGCTTCAGTTCAACAGAGCAAAAGAGTGGTCTTGTAATGATGCCAACCCTGGGCCAGCCCGGAGGAGATCCGCAACCAGGAGAGCTCAGGTGAAAAGAAGGAGCTAACCCCTCATAACTGGAGGGGAAACAAGGTGGAGAAGGGGGTGTTTAGGAAAGAGCAAGTTCTATGTAGCTAGGTGGACAGCTTCAGTGTTGAAATAGGACCCAAATCATGGCAGAGTGGGAAGACTCTACCTCCTGAGTTGGGTCCTGGCTCAGTGGTGAGAACCTGCCTAGAATCCCCCAGTGAGGGGCTGGGGGTGTGGCTCAGTGGTGGAGCACCTGCCTAGAATCCCCCAGTGAGGGGCTGGGGTGTGGCTCAGTGGTAGAGCACCTGCCTAGAATCCCCCAGTGAGGGGCTGGGGTGTGGCTCAGTGGTAGAGCACCTGCCTAGAATCCCTCAGTGAGGGGCTGGGGGTGTGGCTCAGTGGTAGAGCATTTGCTTAGTATTAATGAGGCTCTTGGTTCCATCTCCACCAACAGAAAAATGAATTAGCTAGACATGGTAGTACCTGCCTTTAATCCCAGCACTTGAGACACCGAGACAGATCTATATTAGTTCAAGGCCAGTTTGGTCTACTTAGAGAGTTCCAGGCCAGCCAGGGCTGTGTGTGAGATCCTGCCTCAAAAGGAAGGAAAATTAATACAATCTCACAGATGAAATAGTTTAAAATATATACTGCTCTTGCAGAGGACTTGAGTTCAGTTTTCAGCACCCACATTAGGGAGCTCACAACTGCCTGTAACTTATATGCATATATGCATATGCATATACCTACATATATTTAACATACAATACCTACACATAATTAAACATACAATAAAACAGAAAAAGAAATGGGAGCTGGGGAATGTAGCTCGGTTGGCAGAATGTTCAGTTTACACACAGAGCCCTAAATTCAGTCCTCAACACAGCGTAAAACTGTGTAGTGACATATACCTGTAATCCGGGTAGGAGATGGAGGAAGAAAAGTCATGAGTTCAAGGCCAGCTTGGTTACATAAGAAGTTGGAGGACAGCCAAGAGGGAAAGGGACAGGGATTTGTTCAGGTCACAAGTCCCCATGTGAGGCACCTGGGCATTCTGTTTGTGCCCTCGGCAGGTAGACAGAAGGAACCGTCTTGCCCCCAAGTGGACCCACAGCAAGACCTGCAGGCTGAACACCTGCCTCAGGTTGTTGCAGTCAGCTCCAAAGCCCCACCTAGCAGCTCATGGGCAGTGCCTCAGAGGGTGATGGACTTGAGAGGTGGACCTTTGACCCTGGCTATTGGCAAACTGGTTCTAGGTGAGAAAATGATAAACCCTTCCCTTACTGCAGGGTTTCTGGCAGGTGCTCTATATCTTAGCCACACCCCTGTTTTCAATGGGAAAAATTCTAGACTAGTGCTCTACCCATAAGCTACACCCCTGGCCCTCCTTTATTTATTTATTTATCTATCTATCTATCTATTTATTTATTTATTTATTTAACTTTACATTCCCTCTGTAGCCCACTCTGGGCTAGAACTCAAAATCCACTTGCCTCTGACTCTCAAAATCCGTTTGCCTCTGACTCTCCTATGCTGGGATTCCAGTCATGTGCCATCATGTCTGGTCCCAGCCCATAATTTTACTATTTTGTGTGTATGTGAAGACAGGGATGGAATCCAGGACTGCTGGCATGCTTACTAAGCAAATGCTTTGGCACCGAAGGTCCCCGTCATTTTTTGGAAGGTTTATTCTATTTGTTGAAATAGAGCCTCACTATGTAGCTAGCCCTGGCTAGCCTGGAACCCACAACCTGGACCAGTCTGGCTTCAAACTCACAACATCAGACTGTCTCCCAAATGCTGGGATTAAAGGCATGGCCCACCAAGTCTGGCATGGCTGATATTATTTATTCATTATGTCTATGCACGTCCTTTTGTGTAAGTATGTGTACTTGAGTGGGGGGCACCTGCCGAGGCCAAAGGAGGGTTTGGAACTGCCCTGGAGCTGGAGTTACAGGTGACAGTAAGGACCCTTCCTCCCAATGTGGGTGCTGGGAACCGAACTCAGGTCTTCTGCAAGAGCAGCAAGCATTGTTAACCACTGAGCCATCCGTACAGCCATGGCCTCCAGTTCTTTGATGGAATATTTTTCAGTCTCTGAATTGCTATTTAAAGCTGGGCATAGTGGCACAGGTCTTTCATCCCAGCGCTTGGGAGGCAGAGGCAGGAGGATCTCTGTGAGTTCAAGGGCAGCCTGGTCTACAGAGCGAGATCCAGGACAACCAGGGCTACATCCTGAAGAAACCTGTCTCAAAATAAATTAGAAGCTATTTCCAAGGAATAACATGAGAAACACTCATGTCCTTGAACCCAACTTAAAAACAAAACAAAACAAAAAAAACCTGGAACCGTCTGTAAAATTAAAATCAAAAGCAAATGACATATTTCCAATATTCAGTGGCACAGAATATCCATTACCATTCCAAAAGGGAGAAAAGGGCATGGCGGAGAAAGAAAGCAGGACTGCAGGACAGACTCCAAACCCTGTAAGTCCATGTCTGATGTCAAAGGGCTGAAATGGTTGCTTTTTGGACCTCCCACTCCTTCCAGCTTTGCTGACAGCTACAGTTCTCCCTCTTGGGCTGTCTCCACACTCTGTTTTTGTTTTTGTTTTTCTTGTTTTTCGAGACAGGGTTTCTCTGTGTAGCTTTGTGCCTTTCCTGGATCTCGCTCTGTAGACCAGGCTGGCCTCGAACTCACAAAGATCCGCCTGCCTCTGCCTCCCGAGTGCTGGGATTAAAGGCGTGCGCCACCACCGCCCGGCTGTCTCCACACTCTGTCTGCAGCTCTCCTCTGCAGGCACCCCATGGCTCTGCAGCCCCTAACATCTTGAGGAGGTGCTCCAACAAAAGCCAGGCTTCGCTTTCACAGCTTCGTGCAATGGCATCTCCGGACCTCCATGCAGGGACTCTGCCACATGCCTGGCCTCAGTGGCTTTCTTTCACCGCAGAGGAAGATTCCGCAGTTCCAATCCTGCTCCCACCAAGTTCAGCTTGCTTGGGCTGGAAGCTGGCGTCTTCTTTGAGTTACATTTGCTAAGCTTTGACTTGTTGATGTTTTCCTTTGTTACATAAGCTTCCCTTTTACAGGTTACAGGATTAGCTGGGTGGAGTCTTAGCCAGAGACTCCCTTTATTAATATACCATCAGGCCTTTCTTTCTTTTTTTTTTTTAAGAGTAATTTATTTATTATGTATACAATGTTCTGTACTGTATGTGTGCCTGCATGCCAAAAGAGGGCACCAGATCTCATTACAGATGGTTGTGAGCCACTATGTGGTTGCTGGGAATTGAACTCAGAACCTCTGGAAAAGCAGCCAGTGCTCTTAACCTCTAAGCCATCCCTCCAGCCCCATCAGGCCTTTCTTTCAACTTCATCTCCTTGGGCACAGGATTTAGCCCCAGCATTACATTCCCTGGTGCTTTTTCTCCCCAAACTGTACATTTTTGTTGGACATAGTGACTGTAATCCCAGCATTTGAGAGGTGGAGGTAGGTGAATGTCTGTGAGTTTGAGGCCTGCTGGTCTACATAGCGAGTTCCAGGCCAGGCAGGGCTACTTAATGAGATCCTAACAAAGTCGGTTTGATAGCCCCTCCAATTTGTGTTTTATCTTATGTTTTTGGTTGTTAATATTGTAATAACTGAAAGTCAAGTTGAAATCTAAATATTAAGACTTCTGATTTATTGAGCTTGAACAATGCCGTCATAGTGACGTAAAAATGGAGGTGGCCCCGTGGTGAAACTCAACAAGTAGTTGCTCGGCTGTAACAGTTTTGATTCTTTTTCCCGTGACCTCTTTCCCCGCTTTCTGGAATCCTAACAAAAGGACACTGCATCTCTTGTAACAGTAGTGCTGACGTCACTGACCGTACAGAAACGCATCTGGTCTGTTTCTTAGAGAGGTGCCTGTTAATCTCTGCTCAGGGGCTGACGAGACAGGTAAATGTGATTCATGTTTCACACCCCAGTGCGGCAGGGTTTGTATAACCATGTGACTCATACTTGTGATCTCAAAGGACCTTCTCCCTTAAATTTTCTTGCAATTAATGTAAGAATACTCTATATCTCTAAACTTTAGAAGTGCTAAAGGGGGCTGGTGAGATGGCTCAGTGGTTACGAGCACTGGCTACTCTTCCAGGGGACTGGGGTTCGATTCCCAGCACCCATATGGAGGCTCACAAGTCCAGTTCCAGGGGATCTGGCACCCTCGCAGAGACAAACAATGCACATAAAATAAAAAAAACAAATTTAAATAAAAAGAAGTGTTAAAGGTAGAGATGGTCTACAAAAGTTGTAATATTTTATCCATTTGCATGTGGTTTTTTTTCCCCTTATGTTCACAAGGTAACTGGTTCCTTCAGCTCCATGACATTGTAGTTAAAAATGATGAGCCAAAGGCCTCTGCATCCAGCAAATCAGAAATGCTTCATATTTTATATTATGGTTAGTATTTTGACTAACTTTTCTTTTTTAAAAAAATATATTTTATTTTATTTTTATGTGCATTTGTGTTTTGCCATGGGTGTGGGGATCCCCTGAAACTGGAGTTACAGACAGGTGGGAGCTGCCATGTGGGTGCTGGGAATTGAACTCGGGTCCTCTGGAAGAGGAGTCAGCGCTCTTAACCCCTGAGCCATCTCTCCAGCCCTTGACTAACTTTTCTACATATAAGTTTCTTGACAGTCCTTCATAATTGCATTATAGAAGCAACTATGTCATAAATAGTTAGCTTGACATTCAGCTGAAGTATTCATATTTTGTTTAATTTCACAATGAGCCCCAGAATGGAAAGACTTACAGATGAGTTTGAAAAATACTGGAATTAGATCCTCAGGTTCTATTAAATTAGTATGTATAGCTTGCTTTAAAAAAAAAAAAAAAAAAAAAAGCCCTGGACAAAACATTGTGGATAAGGCATATCATTAACCCTGTGTGCTCCAGCTCCAGTGGGCCCTGGGGGCGGGGAGGGGGAAATTCATGGGAGTTTTCAGTTTCTACTACACCACTCCCGGCTCCTCCTGGAAATAGGCATTAAAGAAACTTAAAAGTCCAAACACCACTGTGTGGAGATTCTGGTTTGAATGAGCATGGTAGCCTCTGCCCATTGAATCTGAGGTAGCCTGGCCTTACAGCTGAGCTCTCGCATCGGGGTGGGCGTGGTGTCGCCATGGAGACGCCTGCTGAGCTGGCCACTACCCGGCTGCTTCCAGACACGTGGACTTGGCTGGTTCCGGATTCTTCCTGCTGTGGAGGAAGCCGAACATCTATGCCTCTGGTTGGTACCGCTGTGGAGGAAGGGAAGCTGACATCTTGAGCAGGAGGCGGGGCTCTGCTACCCTGGGACGGGAGCTGGGCTACTGAGGTCCTGGGAGCTTTTCTTTGCAGCCTTCCGGATTTCCTGAGAGACTTCCCTGTGTAAATAAAACTGCATAGATTCAGCTTTTTGAGATAAGGTCTCCTTTATGTAGACCAGGCTGACCTCCAACTCTCCAGCCTGCAGCCTCAGCCCCTGGAGTGCTGGAATGACAGACACGCTGTCATACCCAGTTCTCTGTGAGCTCTGCCTGGGGACAGGGGTCTTCCTCCAGCCCTGTCCTAGGATTCGGTACCAAGCCTAAGGGGACATCTGTTTAGAGATTTTTTTTTTTAATTATGTGTATGTGTGTGCACCTGGGCGCAGTTTCCTTGAGTCAGGAAAGAGAGCAGGATCCCCTGGAGCCCAAGTTGCAGGCAGCTGTGAGCTACCCAGTCTTGGTGGCTGGGAACCCAACTCAGAGAAGCAAGTGCTCTTAACCCCGGATCTAATTTCTCCAGCCCTATAAGGGGACATCTCTTGAGAATTTGGGGCCCTTCTGGGAATTCACGCCATTAAGAGCCTTCTATTTCCTCCCAAAACACAGCACGAGAAACAGATGGAATGTCACTGGTTTGTGACTTTAACTAAAAAAAAAAAAACGTTAGAGCTGAGTGTGCTGATACATTCCTGGTGGTCCCAGTACTCAAGAAGCTGAGGCAGGAGCATCACTGTGAGTTCAGGTCTAGCCTGGACTACGTTTCATACATGCTGGATAAAAGACCCATGCTGTCACCCTCTGTATTATTACTTTTCTGTTGCTGTGATGAAACATCATGACCAAGGCAATTTATAGAAGGGAAGGATTATTTTTCTTACTGTTGTGGGGTGGTGAGTCTGTCATGGGGTGGGGGCGGGGGGGATATGCAGCAAATGGTAGACATAGCAGAAGCTGAAGGCTCACATCCTGAACCTCAAGCACAAGGCAGAGGTAGTACACTCAAAGTGGCCTGCCTCTTTAAATTCTCAAAGCTCGCCGGGCGTTGGTGGCACACACCTTTAATCCCAGCACTCGGGAGGCAGAGCCAGGCGGATCTCTGTGAGTTCGAGGCCAGCCAAGTGAGTTCCAGGAAAAGGTGCAAAGCTACACAGAGAAACCCTGTCTCGAAAAAGCCCAAATAAATAAATAAATAAATAAATAATAAATTCTCAAAGCTCACCACCAATAGCGCACCTCTTCCAACAAGGCCACACCCCCTACATCATCTCCCAACAGCACCGCCAACTGGGGACTCGGTATTCAAACATCGGAGCCTGTGGGGGCCATGCTCCCTGAAAGGGTGAAAACGCAGGAAAAAGGTACCTAGGAAGGCCCCTGCAAGCTATGCCCCTAAGAGAATGCGTGCAAAAGGTTGGGGGCGGCACAGGGGGCGGGGCAATGAAAGAGCCAAAGGCCGTCTGGGAGTGGGGACATGAGAGAGGCAGACAGACCGACAGAGAACAGGCAAGAGAAGGACAAGAAGAGGCAAGAGAAGCAAGAGAGGGAACTGTGACAGACAGGCACTTTAAAGGGTGTGCGGGTTGCATTGCTGACATGCAAAGGCACCTGGTGGCGGGTGATGCTGTCACCGCTCAGGCCTGCTGTGGCTGCCCCTGCTGCGGCGGGAACTAACAGTCCGCCTCATAGAAAGGACATGACACGGGGCAGGAGGTAGGACCCCAGCCTACTTTTGAAAAAACAGAGTTCCTTGTAAATCAAAGTGAACTTCGCTTTCTAGAAAAGTCTCGGTTTTGTTCGTTTGGCAGCAGCAGGACGGGAAATATATGCAAGGCTGACCGTTGTCTCTGGAACTGGGGAGCCAGCATCCAGACAAGTTCCTCTGGTTCAGAAGTTCCTCTGGTTCAGAAGCCCCCGGGGTGGTGGCTGAAAGGTCCAAGGAAGGAAAGACAGACAAGGAAATGAGCAACTTCTGCAACAGGACGGGTTCAGTTGGGAAAGGAGGTCTCTGCTTACAGACTAGTGGGTAGATATTGTAAGTGTTAGCACAGCTCGGATGGAAAAGTATTCTGGCAATCAGGAGCCAAGGAATACCTCAGGTCACAGTAAGCATAGTAGTTTACAGCCCTGCTCCAGGGAAAGGCTTTCCCAATGTAACAGCTCTGCTCCGGCAGGCAGGCGAGGGTTTTCCCCAGTGAACTTGTTACAGTTCTGCTCCGGTTTCCCCTCTGGCAAAAGGTCTCATCCAAACCTCATTCAAGAGATTTACTGGGAGGGAAACATCCTGGGGAGTGGCTGCCTCATCCAGGGTGGAAGAAGGCAGCAGCAAACTGAACAGATGCAGGGCTCATATAGGGTTTATTAGGGGCGGAGTTTTCCCAGGGAGAAGATTTTCAGGGTGGGAAATGATCAGATTTCAGTCCTTGAGCTCAGATTGGCTAGATCTTGTGCTCAGGGATTGGTTGGTTTTCTACTCAGGGATTGGTTCCTTTTTTCTGCCCAGGGATTGGCTGGTTTTCTGCTCAGGGATAGATTCGTTTTCCTGCCCAGGGATTGGTTTTCTGCTTAGTGGGTCAGGGGCAGATTTGGCTCTGGATTCAGGGCCAAAGTGTGTTTCTTTCTTTTCTTTTTTAATTTTTTCTTTATTAAGAAATTTTCTACTCACTATACATACCACTCACGGATCCCACCTCCTCCCTCCTTCCACCCCCCAGACCTCTCTCCCAAGCCACCCCACATCCCCAAAGTGTGTTTCTTTCACTGGCCCTTTTTAGCCTTTTGGCTCTAGTTTCAGGGCCAGGGCATATTCTTTTGCTGGCTCTGATTCTAGGGCCAAAGAGTGTTTCTTTGGGTCTGGTTCCAGGGTTGGGTGTATTCCTCTGGTTCTGGGATCAATGTTAAAGTGTTTCTTTCGTCTTAGAGCCAGGGTGGGTTTTCTTTTCTTTTCTTTTTTTTTTTTAGTTTTTCAAGACAGGGTTTCTCTGTAGCTTTGGAGCCTGTCCTGGATCTCACTCTGTAGCCCAGGCTGGCCTGGAACTCACAGAGATCCGCCTGTCTCCGCCTCCCGAGTGCTGGGATTAATGGCATGTGCCACAGGGTTTCTTTTACTAGCTCTGGTTTCAGGGCCAGGATAGGTTTCTTTGGCTGGCCCTTTTACCCTACAGATATGGAATTGGGGGAGTGGGCGTGAGGCTTAAAAGCTTCTGTTTCTGGAAGTGATCATCTCAGAGTCGTGAGCAGTGACTGAAGATTGCCAGGTGATCACAAACATCTCCAAGGGCCAGCCATTATCAAGGGTGCAAGAGATGCCAGGCATCCAGAAAAATAAGCCTAGAATACTGTGGTTTGCTGTGGTTTGGGGAAAACTGCCACCATTTAAACAAAACGGAGTTTTTCAAAATGGTGTAGGTGTGGCTAACATTGATGTTTATTTCTACAGATCGGTAGATAGAGACGGGGGAGGGGGGTGTTAGTGGGGGAGCTGTGGTTCAGGTAGCTCCTTCCTGTCAGACGGTGTCCTCCTCAGGGGGCTGCTGGGGAAGCCTCTTGTATTGGGAATCTCGAAGCAGAAGGATCTTGTCCACGTGCCCTTTGGTTGTGCTCTGGATGAAAGAGCTCATTCGCTGGGACACAAAATGAGTCAGGCAATTAAGAAGACAGGGCCCGAACATGAGCAGAAAGAGGATAAAGAGAATGGGTCCCACGAAGGAAGTCAACCAGGAGGGCAGCCAGTATCCCAGCCCCAGCCCCTGGATCCAAGAGCTGGAGCTTGGGCGGAGTTCGGATGCTCTCTCTCGAAGTTTCCTGGCTGCATCCCGGACTACTCCGGACTGGTTTACATAGAAGCAGCACTCCTCCTGGAGGAAGAGGCAGGTGCCCCCTTTCTCGGCGGTGATGAGGTCCAGAGCTCTGCGGTTTTGGAGCACGAGGCCCGCCAGCGAGTCTATTTGATCTTGGAGGGTGGTGAAGGAGGTGGCTATTTCGTCTAGGCTGTCGGAGAGCGCCTGCGAGAGCTGTTGGAAATAGATGGTTGACGTGGTGATGCCAGCGATGCCTAAGCCCAGGGCGGAAGTGATGCCCAGGCCCGCGAGAAGAGGGAGGAGGTGAACCGCTCTCTTCCGGCGAGACGTGGAGACCGAGGAGGGAATTGTAGCAAAAAGGGGGACAGTTATGGTTTGGTTACTGGGGAGGAGTTCGATGTCTGGGTATTGGAAGACAAGGGTACAGACACCCGACCAGTTGGCCGGGAGGCAGACGTAAGTCGAGCTCCCGCAGAGGAAGAAGACGCCCGAGGAGTTGAGACAGAAGGAGTACGTTAAGGAGAGGAGATAGGAGAAGATGTTTGGAGTGATACCCCCGTTTTCCTGGACAGTGGGTTCATCTTCCCAGATTGAATATTGTCCAGAGAGGGCAGCCCCCATGAGGGGCTGGTACTGAAAGAGCGGATAGGGCTCTTTGTGTCCCTGAAGTTTAATCTTGAAGTATGTGGTGTCCACAGACAGGGTAAGGGGGTGAGTTCTGTTGTCCGGTTCGAAGAGCGTCAGATTATAGCAGGCGCTAGATGGGGAGGAAGGGCATCGCCTCCAGGGAGTGGTTGGGTAGGTGTGACAGTGGATGTCATCGACCAGGCAAGGGTAGAAAGGCTTCCCTGAGGTGAGGGAAGGGGGTCCTGAAAAGCGTAAGGGATTTCTCCACTTAGAGCCTGGCATGGTCATTAGTTCGGCAAATGCGTAGCTGGTCGACAGATCTATGGATTGGTGGTCGGCCGAGGGGGAAAGGTGAAAGGTGTGATTGCAAAGAGAGGCCGAGAGATTGCCCACGAAGGTGGCATATTCTGGGTTCTTGAAGAAACGGGATATACAGAGAGGGGCCTGGGAGGTGAGGAGAGTCTGGGTAGAGAGCGGCCCCCATATGGGGCGCTGGGCAGATTCATAGACGTGATCGTCAGTGTATTTCACAGAGGTGAGCCGAGAAAGTATCGGAAGTATGTGTGTCGAGCTGGTGAGTTGAAGAAGAGCGATGGCCCGTCGGTCGGGATTGACAAAAGAGTAATAAGCAGTTAGTGGATGGAAATTCAGGAGGCGTTTCTCAAGGTCAGTAATAGGATAAGGGCCGGAGAGGGTCCGGGCCGAGTATGTAATATGAAGTTTCATGGGTGAGTCCGTCCAAGTCGTTAGCGGGGCTGGGATGGCTTGAGAGCGCTGGGTTTGGATGGACAAACAGACCCAGCAGTTGGAAGAGAAGGAAGAGTTAGTGTCCTTGAGGAAGCGGTGAGCGAGGTTTACGAGGGGCCGCCAGCTGTCAGAAGAGGCAGAGGAGTAAGAAAAAAGGAGGAGACAGAGAACCCAAGGGGGGATCATGGCTCTTCAGGGGTGGCCAGCCGTGGTGGGAGGCACAGAGGAGTGGTCCTGAGAATTCTTAAGTCCGGTCCGTCTGTCACTTGGTGCAGGAGTGACTGAGAAGTCAGGGAAGCTCCGGGTTGTGCCAGTTATACGTGAAGGTCGGACCTGTGAGAGCAGAAACACAAATGAGGAGGGTCCCCAGAAGGGTCAGAAGCCTCAGGGTTAGGCTCTGGAGGCACTTTTGAGCTTAGGTGTAGCCAGTGACAGAGTCCCTGTACTTTGTTTTTCTGTCACAACCCCTGAGTGTGGCCTTGGGCTACCTTGGTGGCTACTGTGGATAAACTACCACTGATGGTGGCCTGATGGAGTTTGTAGATTAATTTGCAATTGATTATAGGTGTCTTTTGCCCCTTGGGGGCGGGGCCTCTAAGGTAGGGTCACCTGTGACAATGGCATAACCTTAGAGCACTCATCAAAATACCAGTTAGGGGGTCTCAGCAATAGGAACTTGGGGTTGGGGTTAAGGTTAGAAAGCAGCGAGGAGTCAGGGGGATCAATAAAAGAATGGGGGTCCTCTGTAGGGCTAACGTCTACAGGAAGGAAAGTGGGTGGATTAAGAGTTTTGTGTTGAAAGGTGATTAAAAGGTTTTGTATAAACTGTGTATGTAAGGCGGGGAGGTGGTATGGGTGGGGGTGGTGATGGCGCACACCTTTGATCCCAGCACTCGGGAGGCAGAGGAGGCAGATCTCTGTGAGTTCGAGGCCAGCCTGATCTACCAATCGAGTTCAGGATAGTCAGAGTGACACAAAGAAACCCTGTCTCGAAAAACCAAAAATGAATTAAATAAAACAAACAAACAACAGCATATTATATCTGTTAAATGAGAGAGGGAGAGAGAGAGGAGAGTTGGGTCACATATGAGTGCAAGAAGATTGTGGGAGGTGGAGACAGTAATAGATTGGTAGAGTGTTAATTTGAGGGCTTCTGTTGTTAAATGGGGGGCACCCCAAGAGTTTAAGGAAAAAGGCCCACCCTGAACCACCAAGTCTGACCGCTTAGACAGACAGTCTTCATAACACTGGCCGAGGAGACCTAGGCCTGAGTTAAGGATGAAGGTACAAAGAGGATGAGAGGTTTGGAGGGTCCGGATGCCCTGAGGCAGGAGCAGCCATGAGGGCCTCTGAGCACACAGGATGAGCTTGAGTAGGTTGTGGGGGTCCAGAGGCTCTGTGAGAGGACCACCAAGCAGCCTGGCTTACTAAAACCCCCAAGCTGAGGATCCAGCTACAAAAGTAACCCGCTAGGCCCAAAAAGGAGAGGTTTCATTTAGCTTGGGGGTGGGGGGATGGGTGCCCTTGTTTAGAGCTTTGCAGCTTTGAGGTACCCCTTTGGAGGAGGAGGTTATGACAACAAAGCCAAGATATGTGACTTGGGAAGAGGCTATCTGGGCCTTAGAGGAGGACACTCAGCATCTCTGGTCCCCCAGAAGAGTGGGAGACTAGAGGTGTTATACAGATGGGTCCTTTGAAGGCACTCAGAGTGACCTCGAGGCTTCAAAGGTCAGGACAAGAGCTTAGCTAAAAATATGAGGACAATCTCGAAATCCCTGGGAAAAGACTGTCCATATTAAGTGGGAGGACATTTGGGTGTCAAGGGCTCCCCAGGTCAATGTACAAAGGTCTTGGCAAGAAGGGCCAAGATGCCGCCAGAGAGATGTTAAGAGCTCTTACTGCTCTCGCAGAGGACCCAGGTTCAGTTTTTAGCACCCATATGGTGGCTGACAGCCACAGGTAACTCTAGTTCCAGAGGAATTCTGGGCTGTTTCCTGACCTCCTCAGGCACCAGGCATGCAGGTGATGCGCATCCATACATGCAGGCAAGACACTCACACACAGAATATAAAATACAGGATCCTTTAAAGATAACATAATAGCTGGGCAGTGGTGGCGCACACCATTAATCCCAGCACTCGGGAGGCAGAGCCAGGCAGATCTCTGTGAGTTCGAGGCCAGCCTGGTCTACAGAGTGAGTTCCAGGAAAGGCGCCAAAGCTACACAGAGAAACCCTGTCTCGAAAAACCAAAAAATAAAAATAAATAAATAATAATAATATAATAAAAAGGGCCAAGAAGAATGGTAAAGAAAGCATCTTCAAGATGAAGGACTGAGAAATGAAAGGTGGGAAGAGGAGGGTAAGATAGAATCCTGCAAGGTTTGGGGACCACTGGGTGGACGGAAGTTACTAATTAGGCCCAAGTCTTGGCCTAGGCAGTAGGAGACATCTGGCATTTGGACTGCCAGGACAGGATGCTATGTGGAGTTAGTGGAGTGTGAAATGGAGGCTTTCCAGAGTCTGCTAATCACAAGTTTAAATCCCTTGAGTTCCTTTAGAGTGAGTGGATACTGAGCCTGCCACACAAAAGCAGAAAGGTCCTTTTTTTTTTTTTTTTTAAGTTTCTCAAGACAGGGTTTCTCTGTGTAACTGCCCTGGCTGTCCTGAACTCGCTCTGTAGTCCAGGCTGTCCTGGAACTCAGAGATCCACCTGCCTCTGCCTCCCGAGTGCTGGGATAAAAGGTATGTGCCACCACCGCCCCACAGAAAGGTCCTTTTTAAATTAGGAGTATGGTGGGTGGGGGAGGTAGCTGCGATCTGAGGGTGAATGGAGGCAGGACAGCGGTGCAGAGTAGGACCGCGCTAACACAGTCCCCAGGAAGGGTCGGGTCTGGGTGACAAAGTCACAGGAAGGCGGCTGCCCTGAGCAGGCTTTGTGAAATAATGACAACTGTAGTGTAGAACTCATCTAGAATGTCACCTCCCAAGAGAGGAGTTGGGCAACCAGGAGTGACCAGGAAGGAATGGGGAAAGGAATGTCCGAACAGTCTGCAGTACTGGTCTGGGTTGCTTAGATTTCATAGGCTTGTCTTCCTCTCCCTTAAGAGGGGGAGGGAACTCATGCTGGGGTCCAGCCGATTCTGGTAAAACTGAGTAAGCAGCTCTCCCCCGCCCCCGATCCAATAAACACGATGTAATCTTACCAGCTATTCCCAGGTTACCTAGGATAACTGATAGCTGGGGGCAACGACCCCTGATCCCAGGCAGTCATAATCAATCCCCGAAAGCTTACCAAGCTGGAGTCCAGGTTCAGATCGATTGTTGGGACCTGGTATAAAAAGAGCCGGGCTCTGGGCAACTGGAGCTGAATGCAATCTGGTCTGGAATGTTTTTTCTCCCTACGTGGGGGGGGGGGGAGGGGGCAGGGGTGAAGTGGCAGGCACAGAATGGGGCAGGCTCTCCGGGATGTGAGAGTCAGTCTCCAATCTTTGAGGCTTCTAATATCAAATGCCCTCACCCCAACTCCCTATAGGAGCCACCAAAGGTCAGAGGAAATGTGCAGCTTCTACACCAGAAGTCACTAGATGGGAAAACCAGAGCGCTCGCTGCTTACAGAGTAGGGGTGGTTATGGGGGGGGTGGGAGTGAGAGGAAGGGATGGGGGACACAAAATCTTCCAATGCCAAGAGTGGAGTGTAGAGAAGTAAGAGAAAGAGAATGTGTGTCAGGGTGGGCAGGGCGGCACACACCTTTAACCCCTGCACTTGAGAGGCAGAAGCAGGCAGAGCTCTGTGAGTTCCAGGCCAGCTGGGTCTACCTAGGGAGCTCCAGATTCAAGGATACACAGTGAGACCCTGTTTCAAAAAACAAAACAGAATGTCAGGGGGTCATAAACATCTCTTATGACCGGTTATTCTCAGTGGGTGGCAGGGTTGCTGGGAGGAATCTAGGAAAGCAAGCCTGGATTGATGCTGATTAGTGTAGTTTGGGGGAACTATCATTAATTCACCAAAATGGAGAAAGATTTCAAGATGGCATGGCCATGGCTGACAGAAGTGATTCTGGTCCTTAACATTGCAAGAATTCTTGCCAGACATAGTGGCTCACACCTTTAAATCCCAGTACTTAGGAGGCAGAGGCAAGCAGATCTCTGTGAGTTTGAGGCCAGCCTGGTCTACAGAGCAAGCTCCAAGCCTGCTGGACTACATAGTGAGACCCTGTCTCAAATAAAGCAAAACAAAAAGAATTATTTCCCTAGGGAGATATATACAACATCTCCTCACTCTTCTTAAGATCCCAGTATTGGGCTGGAGAGATGGCTCAGAGGTTAAAGAACACTGACTGTTCTTCCAGAGGTCCCGAGTTCAATTCCCAGCAACCACATGGTGGCTCACAACCATCTGTAATGAGATCTAGTGCCCTCTTCTGGCCTGCAGTCATACTTGCTGTATACATAATAAATAAATACATCTTTAAAAAAAAAAAAAAAGATCCCAGTATTGGTGAAATTATTAAGGCCACTCCACGTAGTTAAAAGGAGATTTATTTAATGGCATAACTTACAAATTAAGGGATAGGTAGGTCGCGGAGTCTGGGGAAGGTGTATCGCATGCAGTCCAGCGGTGTTCTCTGGAGCTATGCTTGGCCCACCTCCACCATCCAGGGTCCTGGAACAGAGAGAGCGCTTGCCGATCCAGATCTCGGGTCTCGCCTCCCTTGGCCCTGCCTTGTAGGCATGACAGTTGCCGAAGTCTCAATGGGGGTTGGAACTTCCAGATCAAAGCTGGAATGGCTACATCCCAGTGTCAGGGCTGCAAAGTTGGCTCAGTAGTTAAGAGCAAGAACTTCTTGTTCTTGCAAAGGACCCAGGTTCGATTCCCAGCACCCATATGGGGGCTCACAACCTCCTCACACACGCATTTGGTGCATAGACGTACATGCACACAAAACACTTATACACACAAAATGATAAAAATAAATCTAAAAAAAAAAAATCCCAATGACCAACCAAAGTATGACTCCACTAAAGGTGACCTAGGGAGAACCAGTGAGTTTATTGGGGCTTACCTCTAGAGTGTGGGTGACCCAAAAGTATCAGCACTGGAAATTCTTCGTCCAGTGTGGATGATGCCTTCCACATGGTCACATGAACTGAACTTCTTCAGTTAATTCTCCCCAGTTTAAATACTCTAGCATGTCCTCAGACAACACCTCCAGGCTATATATAATTAGAGCATAGTTCTGTGGAAGGAATGGCTGGAATCTCAGGTAAGGGGCCAGTGGCCCTCCCCACCCCCTCCTTCTAAAAGGCCATTCGAAGACTCTCAACAGGACCAGCCATGATGCACTCTCGGAACAGATGTGCACAGGTGTTTCCAAAAGAAGCTGCATCTCACCCTGAACCTTCCGCGAGGCTGATCAACTGATCAAAACTTCGACGTTTGTGGCGAGGTGGGAATGTTGCAGGCCAGAGCCTAATTAAAATTTCCCTTGGGCTATCTTTAGGCCTTTTTTTTTTTTTTTTTTTAGCCATTCTTTTCCCTGCTCTAAACGTGATCTAACATTCTTATGACTATCAGGTGAGGTATTTTTTTTTAATGGATTAGCTTAGCAGGCAACTAACTACCTTGCTCAACCCAATAAGGGTGACTTCAGATAGCATTTAAAGCCATTAGGAGAGGTTTCCCAGCGTTGCTATAACCTGTTACTCTGATGTTTCCACTGACGTAATTGAAAAAAAAAAAGGGATTGGAGCTGGAGAGATGGCTCTGCAGTTAAGAGCACCTACTGTTCTTGCAGAAGACCCAGGTTCAGTTCCCAGCGCCCACATGGTGGCTCGCCACTGCCTGTAACTCCCTCTTCCGGTGTCCGTGGGCACCAGGCACACACTTGGTGCACATTCATGCATGCAGGTAACAACACTCAGACACATACAATACAAAATAAATCCTTAATGAAAAAAGAAGTAGCCGGGCAGTGGTGGCGCACGCCTTTAATCCAGCACTCGGGAGGCAGAGCGAGGAGGATCTCTGTGAGTTCGAGGCCAGCCTGGGCTACAGAGTGAGTTCCAGGAAAGGCGCAAAGCTACACAGAGAAACCCTGTCTCGAAAAACAAACAAACAAACAAACAAAAACCTTAAATGAAATTGGGGCCTCATGGGAAGACAGAATTTTGAGTAACCTAAATCTGTGTTCTCGGGCCATGGTCACTCATATTTGGCTTCGGAATAAGTTATCTCTTGTCCTCTTTGAAGTGAGCTGTGTCTTTGCATCCACACGGGCACAGATGATCTCATGGAGATGGAGGCCGCTTTACTAGAAGGACCACGTCCTACAACAGTGGATCTCAACCTTCCTAACGCTGCGACCCTTTAATACAGTTCCTCATGTGTGGTGACCCTCAACCATACAACTGTTTCGTTGCTACTCCATAACTGTTGTTATGAATCGTAAAATAAACATCTGACATGCCACCCCAGAGGGGTCGCGACCCCCAGATTGAGAACCACTGTTCTGCAACCTTCTTCCATACTCCAGGTCACTTTGACTTCTCTGAGAGTTGCACTGTCTGGCTTGGCCTTTCTTGGGTTACCTCCACTCTCCCCCAATCCCACCTGAGCCTCTATGTCACTACACCCCCAGTGTCTGGGGGCCAGATGTTTGAGAGCCACTAGGGGGTCAGTGCTGTGGCATTTCAGTGGAAATCTACAGTGCTGAGGCAGAGCAGGACTAAGAACTAGCGATCTCCTTATGCTGAAGCTTACCTGAGCAGCTTTACCACTTAGAACTGCTTCATCCCAGAGATGGGGCCGGTGTGTGAACAGTGTGGGAGTTCCTGCAGGCATCATGCTGGCAGCGAAATAACAATCCACGAAGAGGCAGGAATGAAAACTCCATTCAGCTTGATTTTGCCAGGCTGGATCAGTGCTGTGGAATAATCCTTCTGTACACTGTGAAAACGTGTTGCTCTCAATTCTTAGTAAAAAGCTGATTGGTCGATAGCTAGGCAGGATTCTTGGGGCAGAGAGGATGCTGGGAGGAAGGAGGGTGGAGTCTCAAGATACACAGAGGAAGCAGGAGATAAGCATGCCATGCTGAAAGAAGGTACCTCCATGTGGCAGAGGGTAGAGAAGAAATATGGTTTAAGTTGTAAGAGCTAGTTAGTAACAAGTCTAAGCTATTGTCCGAGCAGTTATAATTAATAATAAGTCTCAGTGTAGATATTTGGGAGCAGCTGCCAGGACACAGAGAAACTCTGCTTACAGATCAGACTTGACTACATAGAAACTCTTGTGACCATGAAGATGGGTTCTAAAGCTAGAAGCCCTTGGACCTGGTGTGGTCTCTGACTGAGACAGCATAGAGGTCAGCAGGCCATAAACTACAAGTGCCATCTCCACTAAGGATGGGTTCCATTAACTGAGCTAAACATAAAGGTCTAGGGGAGAAGAGTTTGGGATAAATCATTTCAGGGGAGCCAGGCATAATAGCACATGCCTTTAATCCCAGCACTCGGGAGGCAGAGGCAGGCAGATCTCTATGAGTTCAAGGCCAGCCTGGTCTACAGAGTGAGTTCCAGGACAGCTACAGCTGTTACACAGAGAAACTCTATTTCAAAACAAACAAACAAAAACCAAACATCATTCTGAAGGATTTGAGTATGGTCTACAGATAGCAAAAGGTCACTGGGTCATTGACAGCATCCACTCCCAGCTTTCTGGGTGGAAAGCAGGTGTTTTATTTTCTTCATCCACGAGACACTCCTGCGTGTTTAACATTCCTGGTTTCTCTAGTGCTTACCTGTGAGTCCCCATAGAACAGTGCACAAAAGGGAGGGCTCCTATTCAAGCTGTTGTTGTCTCAAGAACAAAGCCCTTCTTACAGCTTTTAATTAATTATTTGTGTGCCTACATGTGTCTGAATGTATGCCACTGTGCTGGGAACCAAACTTGGTCCCTCTGCAAGAGCAGTAAGTACTCTTAACCACTGAGCCATGTCTCCAGCCCCTTCATTTTATTTTACTGGTACATTTTTGTGATGGGCACTCATGTAACCCAGGCTAGCCTAGAACTCTCTATGTAGTTAAGGCTGACTGAATTCCTGATCCTCCTGAGCGCTCTGCCTGCTGATTGCTGGGATTACAGGCACTTGCCACATGTCCAGTCATTTTTTGTTTGTTTAGACAGTCTTCCCACGTAGTCGAGGCTAGTTTTGAAATCTCAGCAAAACTCCAGCCTCAGCTTCTCCAGTTGCTGGGATTACGAGTGTGAGTCACCAGGCTGGGCTGACGTCCTGGCTTGAGATAACAAACAGAAAACTGATTTCATATTTATGAATGATAGGAAAGCAGGTTTTTGCTTTTGTTTTGTTTTGTTTTTTTGAGAGGAGTGTGGTGGCTAACACCTGTCATCCCAGCATCCGGGAGGCAAAGGCCTGCCTGGGCTGCAGAGGTGATCCAGGACCACCGTGGAGACTGTCTCAAAATAAACAGTAAATAAGGGTTGGAGGTCTGATTCAGTGGGAGAGCACCTGCCTAGCATTCCCAGTGAGGGGCTGGGGTGTGGCTCAGTGGTAGAGCACCTGCCTAGGATCCCCTAGTGAGGGGCTGGGGTGTGGGTCAGTGGTAGAGCACCTGCCTAGAATCCCCCAGTGAGGGGCTGGGGCGTGGCTCAGGTGTAGGGCACTTATCTAGTATGTACAAAGCCTTAGTTAGGTTCCAACCTCACTACCCTAGAAAAAGAAAAGAGACAGCATGTTAGGAATAGGCTAAGATCTGAGGACACCAATATCCAAGGTCCTCTTTTTATGATCTAGGGAACTAAGGGCTCCTAGCTGATGGTAATAACGCCTCCTAGAAACCGTCACTGCCAGCACAGCCAAGGCTTCTTCCTTTCCAAATCACACTGTGGGCAGGTGTTTGAATTCAGATTGCTGTAGAGTGGACAGGCTGGTGTGACTGACGGTGGCCCAGGGTACAGAGGGCACTGTCTGTGCTGGCCTTGAGGCCCCCACAGGAGACCCTCAGGACTGAGAAAAATGTGATGAATCTCCTTTACCCAGGAAGCCTCTTCCGTGGTGGTTTTCCTAAAACTTCTGCCTTCTCTCTCCTGTCCGCCAACCAGCCCTGGGGCCTCCTCATCCTTACCTCTGCCTTCCTAGTCTCGTATAGGACATGAGCTAACTCTTCAGAGCCATGCCCCCCATCTCTTCTCTGTGTGACCTTAAGCCACAACCCCTTTCCACCTGCATGCTTTAGTCTCTGCCAGATGGGGCCATGGCAGCACCTCCCCAACAGGAATCTGGGGCAACAAAGTGACATCACCTTTTTTTTTTCTAGAACTTTTCACTTATAACCTGGTAAGCTGTAAGTGGCATCACACTCCCCACCCCATCCCCATCGCTCCCCATACCTCTACCCCTTCCACACCCCCATAACCTGAGTTCCACCTGCTGAAGTTTCAGTTACCTACCGCCAACCACCATAGTCCCAAAGTATTGAAATGGAAATTTCTAGAAAGTACAGGCATGGAATCTCAGAATTTAGTAGGCAGAGACAGGAAAAGTGAAAGTTCAAGGCCAGCTTGAGTCATATGGTGAGATTTTTTGTTTTTGTTTGTTTTTGTTTTTTGAGACAGAGTTTCTCTGTGTAGCTTTGGAGCCTGTCCTGGATCTCGCTCTGCCTGGCTCTGCCTCTCGAGTGCTGGGATTAAAGGTGTGCACCACCACCGCCCAGCTATAGTGAGATTCTTAGTCTCTGTCTCTCTCTCTCTCTTACACACACAAAAAAAATTCATAAATGTAAATTTCTGTGCCATTTTAAGTAGCATGATGGAATCTTTCACAGTCCCCGTCTATCCATCCATCTTGCCTGGGATGTGAATTATCTCTTTGTGGAGTGTTTCCATGGTGTATATCCTACCCTCCTGTTAAGTCTAATAGTCTTCTTCGCAGACTAATTGATGTGCAGAGTATTCACACTGTATACACAACCCTGTTAGCTTATTAAATGGATTGCTAGCTAATGTCTCTGAAACCTTGGCCCCGAGAGAAGAGAAAAGACTAGGAACCCACCCAGATTGGTGACAGATCCCAACTACCCACCAATTATTTGCATACCCATGCCCTGAGACAGGGACCCTACTGTAGCAGTTGTGTCTTGAGGTAGGGTGGGAGGGGAGAGCCCTATCAGTAGACAAATGGATGCATTTGAAGTGGGGAATCTAATCCCTGTTCCAGAGAGAGAGTGCATAGGCAGCTTGAGCCAACAGAGGAAAGACTGGGGTAGCCAGTGAATGGGGATTCTTAGAGTCTAGGAAAATCCAGGTCTCTAAAGTCAGTGGACTACAAGCTCAGGGGCCCTTCTTCACTCAGAGTATGTATCACTTGCCAGTGAAATCTACCTTCACTTTGCCTTGAACTTTTTCTCTGTCTTTTAATTCTTTAATTCATGGAGGAGAAGAACCTGAG